GAGTCAAAGGAAAAGTAAGAGGAAAGCTTGAGGTGCAAGGTAGTGAACTTACCTATTGTCATTGCTTGATGTTGTATGCTTGTATGTTGCCGTGTACATGTTATTGAATGTTATTGTGATATGTTTTAGCTACTGTAATTTCTATTCATGATGAGTAGATTATGTCTCCATGGCCATGCATCAAGAAGTTAGCTTTGAGCATGCTAATATGTCACTAATTAATAAGAGAATAAACAAGTTACGTGTAGTGCATTAGCATCCATCTAGCATGATTAATATGGTATTGTTTGCTACTAAGATTCCCCTGAATCTCACTCCTCCCTAACCAACCATTTAGGTCAATCATCAATGGGCAATAATGGCATGAGAAGCAAGGAGAAGAAAGTGGAGAATTGTTCATGTTAATGAATCATATTATTATTCAATGTGTAATTCTCCTATTACGTAATTTATGTTATGGATACCTATGATGCCATGTATTTAATTATAATGCTTATGGCATGAATGAAAGTGTATGAACATGAATGGGAAAGAGTAAGCCCATGTTATGTATGCCAAAGAAATAAAAAGAATTAAAGTAAAGAGATGTTAAGGGATAAAACGTAGGTCCTGAAGCAGTGAGCTTGTAGCTCCAGTTTGACCTATCAAACGAATAAGTTAAGTCACGAAATTTGGCAGATTCTTAGTACACATCCCAAGCTTTAACATGAGAGGTAGATCACCTCAATTAGATGTGTACACAAGGAGATACGAATTTCTAAAATTGAGCCATAGAATCTGGAAGTTCCAGATTTTATGAAATGAACAGTAATATTTATTGATTAAACTATACGAATTGGGCAAGGATAAGTCCAATTGGATAGTTTTTCCCTTAAAACACATTGAAGTAGAATTTTAGAACACCTCAATACGATTTTTATGGAATTAGTTATGAATTTTTGAAGTTGGGCCTGTAATCTGGAACTTAAACAATAAATATGTTAACATTTTATATCCACGGGCTTGTGTCATGATCTACTTGAACCATAACGCTTACGAATGTGTGCTTTGAGGGGTTAAAGGTAGAACGTTTTAGCCCCTCTATTTGGCAAGCTCGTAAAGGTGGTACTACTGCGTTTCTAGGAAATACTGATATTGAACTACCTCTCTGTTGGCAAATAACTCCACGACTTCCTTCCTTGAAAGTCTGGTCTCCTCATGAGGGTGAAGCTTCTTCGAGCCTAAAGACTTAGGATTCTTGGTGTGAGGCATCTAAGCACAAAGCAAACAACCAATGAACAACCAAAGTAAACACACAAAAACAAACAACCCTAGAAAAGAAACCAAAAACTACACTAAGCCCAGAAACCAAGCAGTCCCCAACACTATCCTATAGTTATCCCTTGCTAGACTCACTTAAACAAAACTGTTGAAGATTTTGAATTGGGACACTTGCATTTTAAAACTATTGGGAAAAATCATGAGAAAACCCAAGTATTCATAATTTTCAATTGCCCAAAATCTATTTCTTGCAAATCCTTAATATGTAAAGTCAAAATCCATTAAGAAATTGTAGTTTAGAAACAACAAGGGTGAATCAAAGGTTTAAAACCTCCTTTATGAGCTCAGGTCGCAACCTAAAATCAGTGAGGTCATGACTTGAACAGACAAAGGGAAAATTTTGAATTCAGAAAGGTTTAAGGTTGCAACCTAAACAGACAGAGGTCAGACTTGAACCCAGAAAGTTCAAAAAACGCATCACAAACCAGTTTGTTCAAAAACCAAATCTTTTACAGAAAATGTAATCCCAAGCAGTTCAAAAACTAGTTAAACAGTAGATTAAACAACTAGCCCAAACTCCACTCAATCAAAATCAAAACTCTAGAAACCTAAACCCTAGAAAAACATAGAACTAAACTAAACTAGAAAGAACAAAAAGAAATAGACTGCAGGGGATGAATTCCAAAGGCAAGAAAGCAACAACAAGTGTAGGAGAGTAGGTTGGCGTTTAGGGAGATAAGGAAGTGGAGAAGAGACAGGATTTTAAAGTGGAGGGGTAGTTTCACTTGAGAGAACTGAAAGGGAAGGACGGTTACAAAAGGATAAGGAAGGTCGCGACTCCAGTAAGGGGAGCAGTCATGGGGAATGGAGAGATAAACGTGAGAGGGAATCAAAAACTAAAAAGAGGGTTAAGTGTGGTTTTATAAAGAAAGGATTAGGGTTTTAAGTCTTGGAATGAATACAGCTTGAATCCAGGGTAGGTTCAAGGGCAAAAATGGTAATTAGGGTGGAAATAAGTAAGGGTAGAGAGGTGAACTCGAAGAAAAATCTTGACCTTTCATGTCAGGTCACGACCTGAGGTATGTGAGGTCACGACTTCAGCAGAGAGGGGGGATTTAGGGTTTAAGAAAGGGTCCAAGTCACAACCTGAAAACATCGAGGTCGCAACCTCAACTCACAGAGAGCCTTTACCTAATGTCTTCCCTAAGTCATGAACTAAATTAGTGAGGTTGTGATTTTAATGCACAAAGAGCTTCCTGACTTTCTAAGACCCTAAAAAACTCAATTCTAAGTCCCTAAACCAAAACCACTCACCAAAATGCCTACCATAACAACCCAACTCAGCAATCCATTACCAGATTCTCAATAATTCAATACAAAACTCTAAAAGAAAGTGATGAAGATTAGGAAAAACTTTCAAAAGTTTTAAAAATTTTGGTAAACTTTAGCAAAAACTACCCATAACAAGGAACAACCCAACAATTAAAGCATAAAACCACTTTTAAAACTCCCTTCCCCATACACTCAAAGCAATATCCACATTGCGGCACATAGTTACACCAAAACACAAAGCTCAAACACAAAACAACAAAGGTGAAAGTTGTGAAGTTCAGTTCAAGACTGAAGCACAACACATCACCCTTCTAGAGAGAAGAAAAGAGCTAAGTGCAAAGGTGGGTAAACTCAAGAATGCAAAGAAGTATGTGGTGGTAAAAGAAGAGAAGTATAAAACAATCACATCAAACTTAAGGCCAAGGAAGATTATTGAAAACAAACATAACAAACAGAATTTAAAACTACTTCTACTGAGGACATCACTTTCACAGTCTCAAACAGTCACAACAAGATAATTTAAGCACAAGTAAATTCATGTGAGCAGTAAGAAGTAAAGGAAAGGAACGACCTGGCCTTAAGAAGGCAGTGCAGGCTCTTTGTAGAGCTTGAGGAGATGACTATTGCACTGAAATATTTTACCTGTGGCCTCCTCCTTGAGCTCTATCATCCTAAAGTTATGCACTTTCGTCACAATGTAGGGTCCATCCCAACTCGTCTTGAACTTACCCTTCTTGAATTTGAATCGAGCTTGATACCTAAACACTTTGTCACCCTTCTTGAACTTCTTTCTCAAGATGTTGGCATCATGGACAAGCTTGGTTTTATGCTTGTAGATGCCTGAGCTATTGTAGGTGTCTAACCACATTTCTTTAAGTTCTTGAATTTAAAGGAGTCGGTTCAGGCCAGCTTCCTGAAAGAAAGCCTTTGTTATCGTTCGCCTTAGGGGTTCTCAATCAAAAATAAATCCAAGCTAAGTAGTATAATGCAAACTCGGGTCGTTTCACTTTTGGGAGCCTTTATTAATTACCTAAGCTAGACTAAATGCCATGCAATGCAATGAAATGGGGTTTTGGGTTTTTAAGATTTAAATGAATTGATCCAAGACTGAATGCAATGAAAACAAACCTAAGATACTATATTTTTTTGGTGTTTTAAGATAATAATGATGGAATGGAAATGAATGATAGGAAATCTCTTGAAAATGGCTTTGGTGGCAATCATAGTTCACTTAAAATATTGGGAGTTTCACAAATCATTAGTTTTTCTTATTAACAACCTCAATAACTCATTGAGTCCAAAGCTTACATTAATGAACTCATTAATGAAAACTTTGTTAAGCTTCCCTAATGTGTAATTTTGGAATGATCATGCAATTGGCTTAATGAAACACACAATTAACTCAGTACCCAAACACAACTATGCAAGATAAGAGAGAATCATGAGAGTTACAATAAGCATATATGCAACTACATATATTTAAGCACAAAGTTCAACATCAATCAATCCAAATTACAAATGTAATCATTAACCAATAATTACAGTATCAGTCCCAAGTTCCTAACTAAGAAATTACAACTCCTAGACCTAGAAAGCCATAAATCATAGCTAAAAATTGCAAACTGAAACTAAACTCCCCTTTGAAGCTTAGGAACTCAAGCCACACCACCATTCTTCAAGAGTTGATAAACCCTAGCTCTCCATAGCTTCAAGAAAAGCTCCAACTGAAGTGAATCCGTTCGCCATGGTAGCTGGGAGTGGAAGGAATTGAGATGGAGTGAATGAAAGATGAAGGAAATGGATGGGGAAGAAGATGGAGGTAGAGAGGCAAGAGGATGGGAGAATAGAGGTGTTGTAGGAGATGGAATGGAGTGTTAGGTCGAAAATAGGGTTTCTAAGGGTTTTAGGGGTCCATCTGGGTCAGATCATATGATTAGAAGCTCCATTTTCGCGTTCTGATCCGGATCTGGCGTTGCTGATACGGAGAGTTCACCGCGGCGAAGCATGCTCGAGAGGAGCTCTGCCTAATCTTGTGATTTCACCGCGGCGAAGCTGTAAGTTGGCCGCGGCGAACTCTGCCCGAGAGACTACTGGTGAGATTTCAATTTGGTGCCGCGGCGAACTCTATTAGTGCTGATACTCTGATCTTGTGTTGTGTCATCCTTTGGTCTTTGATCTTGGCTCCAATTCTCAATTGTCCTACAATAAAAAGCAATAATTTGAAGCATCAATTGTCCTAGAAATCAACTGAATACAATTAATAACCAATTATGACAATTTTAACGTAAAAAAGACACTAACTCAAAGCAAGGACTCTTAATATAAATTAAGCACAATTATCATCAAAAGGAGCCAAAATCTATGATAAATACCCTTAAAATGATATGAAATAACATAGAATAATTGGGCTAAATCACTTCCTCTAAATTGGTGTTGCAGCTCTTAATTGCCCAGTATAATCGATGCTCTAGCTTTACTGGAATGTGACAGGACTTACCATAGATAATCTGATATGGAGACATGCCAATTGGGGTCTCGTGGGCGGTGTGGTAGGCCCACAGTGCATCATCTAGCCTCAAGCTGCAGTCTCTATTAGAGGGCTTGACAATACATTCCAGGGTGCATTTAATCTCTTGATTCGACACCTCAGCTAGGCCGTTTATTTGAGGATGAAATGGGGTGGACACTCTGTGGGAAACCCCATACTTTGCCAACAAGTTAGTATGCAACTTGTTTGTAGAAGTGGGTTCCCCAGTCATTGATTAATACCTTAGGTACTCTAAATCTACTGAAGATGGTGGACTTTAGAAATTTGGAAACTGTAAGTGTATCATCTTTACGTGTGGGGATGGCTTCTACCCACCTAGAGAGGTTGATGAGGACCTTTGTCGTTCGCCTTGGGGTTCTTAATCAAAAATAAATCCAAGTTATGCAGTATAGTGCAAACTCAGGTCGTTTCACTTTTGGAAGCCTTTATTAATTACCTAAGCTAGACTAAATGCCATGCAATGTAATGAAAGGGGGTTTGGTTTTTAAGATTTAAATGAATGGTGACTAAACTAAATGCAATGAAAACAAACCTAAGCTACTATATTTTTGGTATTTTTGGATAATGATGATGGAATGGAAATGAATGATAGGAAATCTCCTGAGAATGGTTTTGATGGCAATCATAATTCACTCAAGATATTGGGAGTTTCACAAATCCATTAGGTTTTCTTAATAACAACCTCAATAACTCATTGAGTCCAATGTTTAAATCAATGAACTTCATTAATGAAAACATTGTTAAGCTCTCCTAATGTGTAATTTGAGAACGATCATGCAATTGGTTCATTGCAACCCAAAATCAACTCAATATCAAAACATGACCATGTAAGATAAGAGAGAATCAAGAGAGTTACAAGGAAACATATATGTAACTACATATATTGAAGCACAGAATTCAACATTAACCAATCCAAACTACAAATGTTAATCATTAACCAATGATTACAGTAACAATCCCAAGTTCTTAACTAACAATTTACAACTCCTAGACCTAGAAAGCCATAAATCATAGCTAAAAATTGAAAACTGAAACTAAACTCCCCTTTGAAGTCTGGAAACTCATGCCACACCACCATTCTTCAAGAGTTGATAAACCCTAGCCCTCCATAGCTTCAAGAAAAGCTCCAACCGAAGTGAATTCATCATCCATAGCAGCTAGGAGTTGAAGGAAATGAGATGGAATGAAGAAAAGGTGAAGGAAATAGATGGGGAAGAAGATGGAGGTGAAGAGGCAGGAGGATGAGAGAATATAGGTGTTCTTGATAATAGAATGGAGTGATTGGTCAAAAATAGGGTTTCTAAGGGTTTTAGGGGTCCATCTGGGTCGGATCATATGAGTAAAGGGTCTATTTTTGCGTTCTGGATCCGAATTTGACATTACTGATACGAGAGAGTTTGCCACGGTGAACTATTCCAGAAGGGAATTTTGGTGAGATTTTGACAGTTTGCCGCGGCGAACTCAAAAGTTTACCTCAGTGAACTATTCCAGAATAGTCACTGATGCACATTTTCAGACATTTTGCCACAGCACAGCATTTTCTTGGAAACTCTCATGTTGTGTAATGCTTTGGTCTTCAATCTTGGTTCTAATTCTCAAGTGTCCTATAATAAAAAGCAACAATTTGAACCATCAATTGTCCTAGAAATCAATTGAATACAATTAATAACCAATTATGACAATTTTACCCTAAAAAAGACACTAACTCAAAGTAAGGACTCTTAATCTAAATTAAGCATAATTACCATCAAAAGGAGCTAAAATCTATGATAAATACCCTTAAAATGATATGAAATAACATAGAACAATTGGGTTCAATCAAAGGTAATCTACAGCTAGGAGGATATTGGTGTAACTGTGGGAAAGTGAAAAGGGTCCCATAAAGTCTATCCCTCAAGCGTTGAAGATCTCATAGAACAAGATAGGTTGGGGTGGCATTTTGTTCCTTCTACTAACCCCCCAAACTGTTGGCATTTATCACATGCCTTACAAAAAGTAAATACGTCTCTAAACAGGGTAGGCGAATAAAATCCTGCATCTAAAACCTTCCTAGCTATTTTTTTAGCACTATATGCCCCCACATAAGGTACCATGGCAAGCTTCCAGAATAGCTCGAGCATCTACTTATGGAATGCACTGTCTAATTACTTGGTCAGAACATAATCTCCATAAGTGTGTTGGATCCTAAATATAATAGGAAGCTTCACTCCTAAACTTTTGAGCCTGAAAGGTGGTCAAGTGAGAAGGGATTAGCCCAGCAGCAATATAGTTAACTAAGTGAGCAAACCATGGTTGAGAAACAGATAATGCATATAAAGATTAGTCAGGGAATGAATCATAGATAATATCATAATCGAGTACTCTCTTCGTTTCTAAAGGTAGCCTGCTTAGATGGTCTACAACATGGTTGACATTTCCAGCTTTGTCTTTTACTTCTACATCAAATTCTTAAAGCAATAACATCCACCTCAAGAGTCTCAACTTCGATTCTGGTTTATGGAAGATGTATTTCACTGTTGTGTATCTATAAACACAACCACTTTGGAATTTATTAGGTATGGTCTGAACTTATCGAGCACAAAAACAATTGCAAACAATTCCTTCTTAGTAGTGGTGTAGTTTTTCTGAGCTACATCTAGAGTTTTAGAGGCATAAGCAATCACTTTATAAATAGAATTCTCCCTTTGACCCAACATTGCCCCCACACTCAAGTTTGAAGCATCACAAGAAATTTTGAAAGGTAAATCCTAGTTGGGAGAGGTAAAAATAGGAGAAGTAATTAACCTATTCCTCAATTCATCAAAAGTAAGCTCACATGCATGGTCAAATTGAAAATCAACATCTTTTTGTAGCAGTTTGGAAAGAGGTAGAGCAATTTTACTAAAATCCTTGATGAACCTTCTATAGAACCCTACACGTCCTAAAAAGGACCTTAACTCTTTCAAGTTGGTAGGGTAGGGTAAAGAAGATATCACCTCTACCATGGCTTTATCTACCTCAATTCTTTTTTCAGAGATTAAATGACTTAGCACGATGCCTTGGTTAACCATGAAATAGCATTTTTCATAATTCAAAACCAGCTTTTTCTTAATTCTATGAGTTCACATAGTAGAGTCAATTCCCCTAATGTCAGCTAGTTGCCAACCTAAAGCTCCCCTCTTCCTTCTAAGGACTCCTATTAAACTAGCCTCTTCATATTTAGTTAAAGAACCAGAAATAATGATAGGCAGTTTGTTCTCAGGCTTAAGATAAGCATATTTGAGGTTGGGAGGTAAATCTTTCAGTTCTAAAGTTAGGGGTTGAACAATAGAGGGAATTAGAGTAGAAACATTAGGAGAGTTAGAGAAACTCCCCTTTATAGACTCTTGTGACATGCACTTTCCAGTTTCACTTGGATCCATGATGCTTGCTTCATTCCTATCGGATGTTGCACCAAGCTCGAGTTGGTTTACAACAGCAACAACCTTAGGTTGGTTCAACTTTATACCTACAACATTATTAGAGATTAGATCATTCGAGAATTGTAAGGCATAGGGTGTAATCTTAGAATGTTTATGAGTAGCAATTGAGTCAGAGAGTATTGGCCCTTTAACCAAAGTCTTTAGGACATGAGGTGGTGAAGCAATTGAAGTCTGAAGTTCAGTATGTAAAATCCTAAATTTTGGCTCATAGATACAAGTAATAACACAAGGAAAGGATGATTACTAAGTCCAATGCAACGAAAGTCCCAGAGATCCCTCAGAAGGAAAAAGAGATTTTCTAAGGGTAAATGTGTAAAACAATAGTGTTCAGGGACTAAAGAATGACAAACTGGAAACAACTAAGTGCCAGAGGTTATGCCAGAAACTTGTAAGAGATGGTTCCAAAGATTAGGCCAAAGGAGGGACCAAATTGTAAAGAACAGATTCCTAGGCCAAGTAGGGACCTAATTGTAAATAATAAAAGTTCTGGTTGGCCAATGCTCAGAGTTGGCAAAAAGGGCCCAAATGACTTAGAAAAATTCCAGAAAAATAGAAATAGGATCCCAGAGCCGATATAAGGCTAGAAATGATGAAAATGCCCTAAAGTTATTCTATGGTTTTGGACAATTTGAGATAGTAACTTAAATTGAATTATTTAAGTTATGAGACGGCCTCAAATAATCAGGAAAAACTGGGGAATAGTAGTTGAGGAATTTACACATATTGTAAAATTAATTTTGTCCCCAGAAACTGACAAGGTTAGCTTTAATTAAATTTAAAGCCTATTTATACCATATTCGGAGAAAGTCAAAATAGCTGTCTAGAGTTTGACTTTTGACCCGAGAAAAATTAGAGGAATTTCCTGTGATGAAAGGGAAAGAATGAAACCCAGAGACAGATTAACGGAGTTACGAGCCGATAGAAAGAATTCAGAGAAGGTAACCCTGATTAAGTATTATTTAATCATATTTCTAGGAAAAGGAGAAACAAAATATCTAAAGACCATCATGACAGCATTGAGTCAGCATGCGAGTCACCAAATCAAATCATGACACCCATGAGTCAGCATGCTGAGTCACCAAATGTAATCATGACACCTACGAGTCATTATGCTGAGTCACTAAATGCAATCAACGAGTTATCATGCTGAGTCACCAAATGCAATCATGACACCTATGAGTCATCATGCTAACTCAGCAGAAGATATTTATAGACAACATAAAAATCAAAACGCAATATGGGAATATTTTAGACAATCCTTTGTCTACCCGTTATAGTGAAATCTCTACTGCGTGACTCAGTAAGGTTAAATAGCCTGTTAGTAGAGCTAATTATTTTCATCTATGCTCCTCTAAGATGGTGCCATATATGTACTTAATTAAGATGAGAAAATGGTGCTAAAACATGTCCCAGTGGTACCGGGTGAGTCAGGACTCAAAAAAGTACCCTATACAGTGCATAATGGCAAAATAGGTAGAGGAATGCCTAAGGGCTATATTTTGCACGAATTTTATATTAATTTCTTTCCTATTTTAATGCCAAAATGATGAAGAAATATGGAAGAGACAAGTGTACGGTTAGATGGAAAAAGAAGATATTACGTGTACGGTTGGATGCAAAACACGTGTACGGTCGGATGCAAGACACGTGTGCGGTTAGATTAAAGACATGTGGCTTGATGATGTAAGCATGATATCATCAAGATGACATCACCCTAGACAAGTGTCACATTTCTTAGAGAGAAAGCTTA